TCAGCATGTGATTTCGATGAGTCATCAGTCCTTTCTATGCTTTTGCGGTCTATTGAAAGATCCCCTGAGCCGTTTGCTTCTTCATGCTTACTATTAATCTCGAAAATACTGTCTTTCACTGTCTCTCCGCGAAGTCTGCAATTTCTCTTGAGTTACGTTATTTCTTCCTCGGGAATTTGGGTTAGCCTCTTTTATTTTTCTTAACCCTTTTTAGCGTCCACATTCATATCAACTTATCCACGAACTGAAAATATGTTCGAGCTTCCCACATAATACCTGTTTCTTCAATTTTCCGGGCGATCACAACAGCGTACACTCTTATTCCATTCTCTCTAACTCCGTTTTATTAGTTGATAGCTCTACCACCGTTGTCTAAATGGGCATACCAAAACGGATGGACTTTCCAGTGCTGGTTTTATTCCGAACCATCCGCTATTTCTTCTGAAATGCAACCTCGATATCTCTTTTGGTATTAGGATGACATACGTAATTAATTTTTTTCGGTTAGCTTTCGCACAGCAAAAGGACTTGGTTATTCCGCCCATTTCCTGGGAAATTTTCTTATTGTCACATCTGTCAAAGTTACAGGGAAAGGTCTGCAACACTGTGTTCCGACGGAATTCCATCCCTACAGGGTAATCTAAATATTAATTCACGATTTTTAGTGGTATATGCTAACAATTTCCTACGTATACAGCCGATGGAGTCGCTCAGAACTTAGGTGTTACGTGGACGGAAATCTTGCGTCTCAATCCGAAATGTCCTGGATGGTTACTACGGCTGAGGTAACTTCATAAAATGTATCCCTATCGTCGGCTCGAATATTGTAAACATATGTCGAACTATTTATATCCAATAATGTATCTTCATTTGGCAGGCTTTCGACAAGTGTACGCTTGGTGGCCCACCTGGGCAGCGGAAATCTGGCATGTTTTTTGGAAGAATCTCTTCTGTGTTTGCTTTTTCCGAAGCCTTGTCTCCCCAGCAAATATCTGCCCTTTACAATCTCGGTCCATTTTACAATGTATGCAAGTATTTATTTCTTCACCAACTTCTGAGTACCTTACTACTTGTTTGATTTTTCATACCTTATGATTAATGGTTATATGTATGTACAGGAGTTGTAGTGTTTTCTTTTTTCCATTATTTTTTTTACCTAAATCCACTTTTTTAATATAGGGACAATTTAGATTTGAACTGGAAAGTAAGACACGCTTGTCGAGTACGGAGCTAAAGGCCCTCTACGATAACAAAATTTCCTCCAGCCTCATGTTTGCCTACAACCCAACTGCATGCGATAGTCATCTGTGTCTGAATCAGTCACCAAAGTCGAACCCCAACGTTTTTCTTCACTCACCCCATGCGCTAATGAAGGGGGTAAGTAGGTTTCACAATTCGAAACTTGGCTGTTGTCCCACCTTCGGTGAAACTCCATCCGACCTATTTTTCTCTCTGGTTTTCTGCGTAAATTCCCAGTTATTAAGGCAGGTGCTTTCGTTTGTCAACTTTTAGAAAGTGCGTACAGTTCGCACAATGTCGCTTCATTCAGCCCTGCACTGTCTGGGTGGAATTCAGCTACTTTACTTACTCTTCAATCAACTGGACTTTCATCCAGATCCCGCAGATGATGCGACCAAAACAGCCCCTACTGCGTCAAACTCGGCATCTGGTTGTTTTCTGAAAACAGATCCCTTCCCCATTGCGTGAGTCAATCAACTTTGTGTCCAAATTCGGTGTACATTTTTCGTATTAACTTATTCAGGAATATTGTAGACAGAAGAACGACAGCGGAATCACAATTTCTGCCTCATTTACTATCAACTGCCAGTCATAATCTTACTCTAGAAATTAAAGACCACAGGCTTGACCCACAGCCCAATTGATGCTTTAAAAAAACATCATAATTAACATTGAGATCAAGCTCTGTCGGCTGTGATCTGGAATATTCAAAAATTCTGTAGCATTGGCATTCGCCATTGTGTCTATCTTGAAGGCTGAAAATTGGCATTTCCATTTCACAAGGGAATTCATCTTAGAACTCTTGCGATTTATCACATGGCTACCACTAATGAATAATCGAGAAGGGATAAAGATAATAACTCAGCATAAATAAATTAATCCTCATTGCATGCGGTTTCATGGAGCTGTGTATCACAAAGCTCTGCGTTTCTTCGTATTTGGAGACAATGCTAAAGAAACGAGAACGTTTTATAATTTTACAAGTTTGTTAGCGCAATTTCAACTTATTCGAAGTAATCATCTGATTTAAAAAAACCAAGAAAATGATCTGGTTCTAGAAGAGGGAGTCGTGTAGTCTGCAGAAGTTTTTGCATGCTTAGTGCTAAGCGAATAGAAAAAGGGTTCCCTTTTTATTCCCTAACGGCAAAATTGTAAGAAACTCGGTCCTTAAGAATACGCTTAGGCAATGTATCCCATTATCCAGTGGCTTGTGAACAAAGTAACTATTAGGATGACTTCCCACACTTAAAACTCCTGTGGAAGTAGAGTTAATAGACTAGTCGAACTTACTCACATTACGTCTATGAGCGATGTTTATGGGCTCATTTCATCCGCGGCCCTTATAACACGCTCCCCCGTGAAGATGCTACGCTATACACCCTTCGTAGGCCTTACATTTCCTCTATTCTACCGTTGATGTACACTAATAAAGGCCATTCTTTTCCCCCTTCACAGTGCCAACGTGTGAACGTTGTCATATTTGCTCCACCCTCCAGTGCGTTAATCACACTATGGTTATTTCGTCAAACTTATAGTTGTTACTGACAATTGGAGGGAGCGCAGGTATACTTTCGAATTATGGCATTTTCTAGTAAGGGTGTTAGAAGTCAGCACGTTCTCCGCCTTTCCGTTAGGTATTTTTTACATGTCAACGATAATTTCATTGGACAAATAAAATCCTCGTTTTTATTTTATGCAGATCCCTGTACTATAAATTTATAGGCTGAATTCCAAAGGCGTGTCTCTACGTTTTTTTCTGGTCGCTTGTTTCCTGTTTCTATTATGGCATGCTAATTTAGTATGTCTTCTGCTATGCTAATTAGTTCATGCGCATGTCGTCTGCAGATGAAATTAGCAATTAAGTGATAAGTTGTCGTTAGCACCAGGTGAATGGAATGGTCTTAAGTACGTCATAGCTTGTTACGAATTCTCC